TTCCTATTTTATTTCGGGTTTTCTTGTTTTAATTAATTTAGTTTTTGTTTCCTTTGTTATTAGGAGTCTTATTAGGGTTGGTTATCACCCTGTATAAACTTATTTTTCATTTTGGATGTCATTCAACAAATTATTCAATTTTTTCTTCAAATTTTGTGGTTTAAGTTTCTAGATTGAGACTTATGTTATCAGTTCTAAAGGTGTAGTCATGTGCTAGTCTTGTTTATCACGCTAACTCACTGCATTAGTTGGTATCAGAGCAAGCAAAATTCTTTTGATCTAATGGTAGGTGATGAAGTTGTAGGAGGCGATGGTTCTCATGACGAAGATTAGGGAGTTGAGACCTCGCAAGGGGTGGTGTTGAGGGCTTTGGAGCAACGAATCGATCTCAGATTCTAGCGTTTGGAACAACGTTTTGATGAAAGGCAATGTACCAAGGATGATGCCGCTCATGGATGGCCTATTGGCAGACCTGTTTTTGCAAATAGACCTAGACAGCCAGTTTACATGGAAGAGTCATACGAAGAAGATGGTTATTATGAAGAACCTGAAAGGAACATGGGGTATGGTAGAAATTAGCATGGTGACAGAGACTCCAACAAATTCAGATTAAAGATAGATATCCTTTGCTTTAGAGGAAATTTAGATATTGAGGAATTTTTGGATTGGATGGCAGAAGTAGATAGGTTTTTTTAATATATGGAGATCCCAGAGGGGTGAAACGGGTCGCATGTAGATTGAAGGGAGGAGCTTCTGCATAATGGAAAAGATTACATGCCAGATATTTACCCATGGGAATTACCAAACGTAATGGGAATTTCTTTAAGACATTTAACATGGCGAATATTTACCCATTTCACTATTCTGATGAACCCTTGTATCCCGATGCCCAACTCAAGTCGAGGTTGAGTTTTTCTTAAGTGAAGGGGACTAGCATAGAATATTTGGCAGATGAATTCATGGAGCAAGCTTAACGTCAGAAGTCCATGCGTAAAGCTCAAAGATGCTAAATGAGCATGCCCCATTCAAGCGGACATAACTTTTGATCCGGAAGGCGTTACAGGGCCTGTAAGATACCATTGGAAAGCTTATTTCGAGCCCATCAATTTTAATTGATTGGAGGTCATTTTTGAGGTCGAAATCCACCATTTTGGCGTGTTTCGTGGCTGTTTTAGTTGTTCGCACATTTTTTCCTATTTTATTTCGAGTTTTCTTGTTTTAATTAATTTAGTTTTTGTTTCCTTTGTTATTATGAGTCTTATTAGGGTTGGTTGTAACCCTATATAAACTTATTTTTCATTTTGAATGTCATTCAATAAATTATTCAGTTTTTACTTCAGATTTTGCAGTTTAAGTTTCTAGATTGAGACTTGTCTTATTAGTTCTAAAGGTATAGTCATCTGCTGGCCTTGTTTATCATGCTAACTCGCTGCGTCAGTTTCAATATATGACCATTAGTTGTATATTTTTGTGGTTTGCATGGGGAAGTACCAAAATACTACAAACTTTTGAAGAGATTTTGAAGATGTGTCTATTCTTGTTAAAGATTGGAAGCCTCTGTATGTATTTGATGTTCTGCCTTCATTCCAGGCAATCATATAATGGAATTGGTGGAGCTTCAAGTGATGTTTGGAACCAGATTGGTCTTTACTTGTAAATTTCCAGATGATTTGTAGTTTGCAGCCACTCAAAACTAATTGGGATGTGTATATAAAATGAATAGTGTTTCATGATTATCAATGTGGATGAGGATTGCAAGTATGGTGTCAAAAAAATTATTATGTTGTTTTCTTACTCCAGTTTAGTTTATTATTAAGGTGAAATTTTGCAATTTTAGTGAGATGTGTATATTTAGGTTGTATGGTGGAAAAATATAAATTGTCGTGAGTCGTTGCTGTTTGATTAGCTAATAAAAATTTTGCATGGTGGTGAGTAAATTTTTTTTTTTTTTTTTTTTTTTTTTTTTTTTGGTAAGAGGTTAATAAAAAGAATAATGAATACAAGTAAGAGAAAAAACCCCACACTTCATCCTTAGCAATTAGCAAGAGGCGAAGAGGCTCAAAAGAAAACAGCAAAACAAGACGGGATTTACAAACTAACAAATTCCTGAATCCATAAAAGGCAGGAGACAGGAACCCTATACAAAAACTCCACACCGAGGCCCTCAGAACCATAAGACAACCAACAAATAAAAAGAGACTGAGAAAGGAGTCAGCAATAGTGAAAAAGTCGCAGCTTCACATACAAGCAAAACAGAAACTCAAACTCCAGACAAATCAATCATCACCACCCAAAGACCCACCCACTGACACTAACCACACAAAAAGGCTGGCAGCAAGCAAAAAGAAAGAGCCTTCAAGACACAGACAACCTACCTAGAAACCCAACAAATCTCCATAAGGCAAAACAGCGTAACACCTCCACAATCTAACCATCCTCGTCATAACCCCAAGTCTCCAAAAAGTCAGACATCATAACACACCAATAACCAACAAAAAATCCACAACTACAGGATACAAGAATGATCCTTGTATTTCTCACCAAAGCAGCATCTAGACATACCCCATTCCACCAATAAATTGCGGACATGCACAATGTTCTTGAACTTAAAACCAACCTAAGCCTAACCGCTGACATGATTTGAAGCTCAACCCACTGGGGGCTGTGTTTGTCACTATTAAAAAGCCGCAATTTTCTTTCTTTCCAGATCCAGTAAATCATAGTAGCTATAAGGAGGCGACAAATAATCGATGTAGCTTTTATTGCCCTTAAGATTACATGCACACCAGTCAATGGAACTTTGCCAATCTCCCACAAGAACTCTAAACTTACCCTTATCTTATCTTAGACCTTACGTCAAAAGGACATGCAAAGAAAAGGTGGTCATGGAAGTCCATAAAACCGTTACAAAGAGCTCACTCCATGCAAGTCATAGTCACCCACCTCCTCATCCGATCTTGTGTAAGTAATTTACCTTTAATAGCTAACCAGAGAATGAAAGAGTGGAGAGGAATGTTCTGACCAAACCATAGAAGATGATGCCAAGAGACTTTGAAGCCACCTGGGGACAAGTCCCACTAAGCTTGTCTCACAGAAAAGCACACCAGTTTACCTTTGTCCTCCAAAAGATATCATCTCTATTAACAGCAGTAGGGATTGAAGGAGACTGATTAACAACCTGGGAGAATCTATCACAAATTACCTCTAGCCAATTCCATTACCTTTTAAGAATAATCTCACTAACCTAAGGCTCATTCTAGCCTCATAGATCAATCTCTTAGGGATAATCCCATCTAAAGGACCAAGAAGATGCCAATTATCATGCCACAAAAAAATAGAAGCCCCACTACCCAACTTGGACCCAATGTGGTTCGAACCGCATCCCTTAAATTGAGAATCTTCCACCAACTCCAACTAGTATCGCACGGTACCTTCACATTCCAAAAACTACTACCTTTTAACCGAAATGTGTTAATCCATTTCACCCATAACGAATCTTTATTAACCACAACAGTCCAGAGATGGGAGATCATAAGAGAATAATTCCATCCTTTCAGAAGACGAATGCCTAAATCTCCATTTGCCTTTGGCACACATAAATCCTTCCAAGCAACTTTAACCTTACCATTAACAAGCTCATTCCCTGACCAAAAGAAGCTTCTCATCAGTTTTTCCAAAGCTTTGGTCACAGAACTCGGGAGAGTGAAAAGGGATGCCCAATAAGCTTGCATAGAGGAGAGGACAGTGATAACAAGCTAAAGCCTCCCAGCATAGGAAAGGAACTTATTCTTCCACGACTTTAACCTTTTTTTCCATCTTCTCAGTGAGAGGAATGCAATCATTGTGCTTAAGCCTTGCGGTAATCAAGGAAACCCCAAGATATCTAATAGGGAGATGACCTTCAGAAAAACCCATAATGTCTCTAATCTGAGTACGAATCTCCTTCTTGACATTGCAAAAAAACATAGCACTTTTCAAGGGATTGGGCTTTAACCCGGAGACCTGAGGAAAGTCTGAAAGAGCATCGTTAATGATCAAAACCGAATAAGTATCTCCATGGCAGAAAAGAAACAGATCATCTGTAAAACAAAGGTGACTAAAATTTAGCTTCTCGCACCTAAATGGTACTTAAAGCCATCATTCCCCTCAATTTTACTACAAACCAGTGCAGTGAGAGCTTGCATAACTATTGTAAACAAATAAGGAGAGAGAGGATCCCCTTGCCTAAGTCCTCTCTTCCTAGGGAAGAATCCATGGAGCTCACCTTTAACAGAGACAAAGAAGGACGCAATAGTCACACATTCACAGATCCACTGAATCATTCGAGGAGGGAAACCAAACTTACAAAGAATATGAATCGGGAAACTGCAGTTACACTATCATAAGCTTTCTGTATGTCAACCTTAAACGCGCATCGTGCAACCCCTTTATCTTTATGATAATTGCGGAAGATATCTTGTGCAAGCATAATATTGTCACTTATTCTTCTACCTAGAATAAAAGTATTTTATGTGAACCAAGAACCGAATTGCCATAGAAGGTGTAGTTTGTTTGATTTTAGGGCCTTTTATAGAATTATTTAGAGAATGTGGGGATTAGGGTTGTATAATTATGCTATAGGTGTAAAATTATAGGCTACAATAGTAGTATTAGATTTTCAGTCTATGCCCTGATGCAAAGAGTGCCAAAAACTGTAGGTCTTCAAAAGAAGAGGGCAATGATGAGACGACGCTTCTTCGTATGTAAAAAATATTTATGCCCATGATCGTATTCAATATATCTGAATTAATTTCATTGTAATAACATGTGAGAGTCCTATTGATATGCCTGGTATGCAATATTATGTACAGGAAAGTGGGATCGGGTGGTATACAGCCAATGCAATATTACTTGGCTGAAGATGAAAGCTCCTCAACAATATATACAAAAAATTGAGGACCAATTAAATATTGTCCTTGAGAAATGAGAAATGAAATAAGAGAAGATTACCAAAAAGCGGCTTAATTTATAATTATAGACTATAAAAAATACTGAACGTTTTACAATTATAGAGTATATAAGTTTTGATGACAAAAAAAAAAGTGGACATTTTATGAGTTTAGAGCAGCAGTTGAGGTGATGTTTCTAATTATCTGAGAGATATCAATGATCCCATTATAAGTTGCAGTATGTTACTCCGGTCTTTTCGCATATCTCATTGTCCTTGCTTTAGATTGCAGTATGTTCTATAGAAATGGTTGAAGAAAACCTGTGTCGATACCAGGAACAAGACCAATGCATTCGACATCACTTTTGGATTTCTTTTGCATCTTCAATACATGCATTCGACATGTTTGGGTAGCTGGTGGAATTCCGTCGTCAGTTTGAAGCAGTAGCAGCTCTCTTGGTAGGGGAGAAAGAAGAGATTCTACAAGCCGCGTTTGTAAATGGATTAAAAACAGAATTTCTCCCCCCTATTTCATTGCAGTTTTGGTTACTGCTCCCAGACCCACTGGCTCCATTTACATTTTCTTCGTTGTGAGACTGAACATTTTCTGTTGAACGTACCTCTGCTCTACCCACCTCTTCTTCATTCTTTCGTCGTACCCATGATTGTAACTCCACCAAACACTCCCGGATGGTACCCATTTCAACTCCCAGCTTTGTAACCTTTCTCTCAACATTATCAAGTTTAGAATTCATCCTCGTCAAGACCATTACCCAGACCACGATGCTCTGATACCACTTGATAGGACCTGACCTGCAAATCAACCAAACTACCAACAACAATCTACACTCACAAGCCAAAATCACAAAACAGTAAGAGGACCCTGTTGTATTAACCTCAACAGAACAATACATCCATAGAATATATATATTCCAGTAGTCCTATCCTCAGTATTTAATAAGCAAATAACTCAGAAAAAGTAATGCAAAATACAACCTAGAAAAGATAATCAAAAGACTGACTTCGAGGGTCAGCCACCTCCACAAATACTGACTTCGAGGGTCAGCAGCCTCCCTTCCAATTTACTTTCTAATTCTCTGCCCTTTTCTATTTCTCTCCTCCTCTTTTTATTCTCTCCTGTCACCTCTTTGCTCTAACTGAATTCCACCTACATCCTATCATAACATGCCATCTGTCCCAACAAATATTCCTTCAACACAAATCCCAACTTCCTACATAACAAATATTCGGCAACCTTCCTCTACTTCCTACCATCACCCTTCCTGTGGTACACCAGCTTTGTTGGTTGCTCATCAGTAGCACTCAATGATACTAATGACCTGTAAACACGCAATATTAATGATAATATACCAGTAAACATACGATATTGTAGAACATGTTTCAATCCCAACACCTATTCCTAAAACAAACAAAAATCGGAAAACAAATTCAGCTGAAACATTCAATATATTTGTTTAAAGCTGGACAAATTTGAGTATGCTATAAACTACTGATGATATCTTATTTCAAGTACTAAGAGTGAGCAGTGGATGTAGTTATCGTGTGAAGACATGAAGATACAATTATGCTATCAAATTTTTAATTGTCAAGCAAAATGACGAAAATCTATATAAAGCATAGGATAAATGTCAACGAAGCAATTAGATGTTGATATAAGCTTTAAAAAGAAATTCTTGTACTCCAGCAATACATAGTACCAGGATTAAAATTGCTGTATTATGGTGAAGTGCATTCAAAATTGTATTCATTCATTTGGTACAGCTATCTATACACATGGAAAGAATCTTAAAAAGCATTACTGTACAAGAATCTTATAATAAAAAGACAAATGCAAATAGGTGGGTTGAAATAACACAGCATACATAAATTGACATAATTAAATGGGTTGACAAATTTGTACAGCATAAGGTGGTACAGAATCTTATAATAGCAATATTACGAAGTTACCATACAGAATCTTCAGTAAAAGTCTTGGTACAGAGAACTTTGGACTGAGTCATATGTTTACACAGAATTCAGGAAACAGATAAATAGAATCCTACCATATTTTATGCATATGAGGGGATGTTTTTTGTTATTAACATTATATTTTATACAGTTTTGGATCATGGAAAACAATAATGGAAAAGAAAACAATGAATGAACGAGTGAATTATGTAACAACTTGACCTATTCAAGTTTATGCTCTTATTACAATGAATTCCTCCGAAACCGTGAAGACAGAAGTGTGAATTCCAAGGAGCCCAACTTAGGATTAAGTTGGCACACAGAAAAAAAGAATAACAAAGTTGGAAATACTCTTATTATATTGTTTATTTTTAGATTCAATGGTCAAATATCTCACATTATATAGAAATCCAAAGTGAGCCCACTATCCACGGGATTATCAACTATGTTCACAGATGAACAAAATATGGTATTCACTTTAAAAAAACAAAACATTGCATTAGGCAATTCAGTAACTTAAAGGAGGATACTAATATTTCAATTAAAAAATAGAAGTTTGAAAATGAATCACGTAAGAGTTCAGCTTTTTGATAGGAAAATTCGTGTTTTAGAGTAAGTAATAAAGAAATTTATCATATACGACTCCACAACTCCGATGAACCAAATAGTCAAAGAAAAAATTAGTTGAGCAAAGATCTTTCTGCTTTGTAAAATTTGATTCCTTTTATTCAGTGAGAGTTTAAAACCAGATGTCATTCCTGATAGGAGTTTGAAAGTCTTGCGTACTCGTAACCTTCCAGTCCAAAACTCACATCATTGCAGGATCAAGTTGCGATCTACTTCCATTCTCATAACCCATTTTAGTTAATTGTTTGTATTTAGTGACTCAACTAAATCACTAAATCCTGTGTCCACAATTAACACCCGCACCTATGCTTGTGACATCCTTATATACCCATTAGAATTTCAAAGTTAGACCTGCTGATTAAATATCTATTGGATGTTGCTTAACTTTTTGGGATTTGTTGGAAGAATCAAAATAGGAGACACAGAGTTGCCATAATATTCTAAAACAACATTCTTTAGTTACATAATGGGTGAAGTGCCTTATTGGTTCTATACACAAAAGTATTACCTTTTCTGTGAAACCTAGGTAGCTGCCACGTATGTCTGGATCCAACCCACTATATTCATCAGCTGTAAACGCGCGAACATTCATTTCATATACATCAAGATCTTTCTGCAAATAATTTGAAATGTGTACCATTATCAGCTCACCATCAAAACACGTATATGAGAAACACAGAGAGAGGGAGACAGGTTTGCATTTTCAAATTTTAATCTCATAGAAAAATTTGTCAAAAAGGAAAAGAATCTTCACACGACTGAATACCTATGTAATTGTTCAGAGTACCTGTGGTACATTAACAGAAGTATGTCAATAGCATTAACAATAATCTTGTAAAATAGGTGTTTGTAATTTAAACAAAAACGGTTCCTGCAAATTAAACTAAAGTTACCTTTTTCGAACTTTATTACAAATGTTAGAATATTGGAAACTCAATTCATGATAAATGTTACAAATTTATATAACTGAAACCTAATCATTGAACAGTAAAAAGCAAGATTAACATAACCCATAAACATAGATAGAGATATAAGAAACGCATCAGCAATATGTGCATGTGGCAGATGTCTCCGGTTTTATTTACATGGGGACACAAAGGTAGTTCAATCATTCCACCATCCAAATTGTGTCCTCTGAAAATTTATTTCACCAAACAGCAATATGTAACACTTTAGAACTTCATGTCCACTAAGAAAAGATCTAATGGTTTCATTAACTATTGGATCATAGCAATCCACCACAAGTATCAAGAAATGCCTATGCATTCATCAGAAATATTAATAGTTATGAAAGAACTGTCCACCCACTGTCTCCTTATTTTGTTACATTCATGTAAAATAGGATTCCGTTCACTGTCAACACAAGAAAACCGTATATTTCATTCACTGTCAACAGAAGAAAACCACCAAATGGTCGCACCACCAAATAATTACAAAATATTGTTTCAAAGGTATGCAATCTAATAGATAAATGGAAAAGGATTTCACGTAATGGAAAGTGATAAACAAAGCACAGCATCCATTTCTCCTCTCGCTAAACAACTCTTAATTCGAGAAGCCAAAATCTCACAAGCAATCTAAATAGGAAAAGTTATAAATAATTAGAAAGGAAATATATACATATGGCTTCGTCACCAACTATACAAACCATATATAGGCAGTAATCTAAATAGGAACTTACCGATTCAAGTGTGAGAAATTATAGTTTGAGTGCTGCACTGGTCAGTTTGTGAGAGGCGTGAGGGAGAGTGGATCATGAGAAATGTTGACTTATATAGCATGAAAAAATTCTATGTCCCCCCTAGGTAATTCCTTTTCTCTATTAACCCCCTAGGGGTTTTGGATTCTCATAAAATGTTCGGAAGGCGATAACTTTGCGATCTGGCATCCGATCGAGGTGATTTTTTTTTTTAAACCACACGGATTTGGATGTAGAATGCAATGGGCAAGCTCCGAAGGAGCTTGGGGGCTTGTGACGAGCCCAAAAAATGAGTTTTTCAGGTAAAAATTAAGTTTTTTCTTAAAATCAAATTTTCGGAGCTAATTTTTTCATTAAAGAAATAAATTAAATTTCGATTCCAGCAGGAAAACCATATGTGCCATATCCAAATATGGTATTGGATGTAATTTTAGGATAATCGGAGTTATTTAAAATACAAACAACTAATATCTATAATAAGGTATGAGTAATCCCAAAACTATAGAGCTGTCGAAACGGTTTAGAGCTTAGATTTTGACGCCAAGATCAAAGGTTCAAGCTGCCGTTATGCAAATTTTTATCATGCATATAACTTTTTGATTGACTGATATTTGCAAACTATGGCACACAGCAACAGCCCACAACCAAAAACAGCGGATTATTTTTAATGATTTTTCGAAGATTAAAAGTTTGGAAAATCGTAAAAAATAAAATACAGTGGATTTTGGGTCGGGGTCGGTTGCGTTGCGCTTCTAAAATCCTCATTTGAATTGTGGTGTGCAGAGTTGGGGTGCTTGCTTTTGGCGTGGAGCGGTAACCTTGCTTTCGCGCACGGCAGGGGCGTTCGGGACATCGAGGGACGATCTTTTCGGGGGTTTTCGTCTTGATCTGATTTTTTGCACGGTTGTGGGGGAAAATTAAAGGAACGAAAGGCAACAAGAACGGATTGATNGGGATTGATTTCATGGGTCATTTCCCAAATTCTTTTGGAAACACATTTATCTTAGTAGTGGTGGATTACGTGTCAAAGTGGGTTGAGGCAGTTGCATTGTTGACTAATGATGCTAGGGTAGTGATTAAGTTTGTGAGAAAGAATATTTTCTCAAGGTTTGGGGTACCACGGGCAATCATTAGTGATGGAGGATCACATTTTTGCAATAGGCAAATGGATGCACTGTTGAGTAAATATGGAGTGACACATAGAGTTGCAACACCATACCATCCACAAACGAGCGGGTAAGTGGAACTGTCGAATAGAGAACTCAAGGGGATTTTCGAAAAGACAGTTAATGCATCTAGGAAAGATTGGTCACGGAAGCTGGATGATGCATTATGGGCTTATCAAACTGCCTTTAAGACTCCGATTGGTATGTCTCCATTCAGGATGGTATATGGGAAATCATGCCACTTGCTGGTTGAACTCGAGCATAAAGCGTACTGGGCAGTCAAGCAGTTAAACATGGACTTGAAAGCTGCTGGAGAAGAAAAGATGCTGACTTTGAACGAACTTGATGAATTTCATCTCGAAGCATATGAAAATGCCCGGATCTATAAGGAGAAGACAAAAAGGTGGCATGACAAGCATATCCAGAGAAAGGAATTTGAAGTAGGACAGAAGGTGTTGTTGTCCAATTCTAGACTTCGGCTATTCCCCGGAAAACTTAAGTCTAGATGGTTCAGACCATTCACTATTACAAGGATTCACGCATCCGGAGCAGTGGAAGTTACACATGAAGAAAAGGGCACTTTCACGGTCAATGGACAGAGATTGAAGCCATACATTGATGGGGTGATGAGTTGCAAATCCATCCCAATCTGGCTTGACATCCCAACTTGAAGGATTGAGAGAGTCAAGCTATCGACTAAAAACAAGCGCTTCTTGGGAGGCAACCCAAGTGTTTTTAATTGTTTGAATTTGTTGAATTCATTATGAGTTGTATGATTTTTAATGTTTTTGTTTTTGGGTGTTTCAGGTGAAGTCTTTAGCCAAAGAAAGGAATTAAAATGCTCCAGACTTCATCGGGACGAAGCATTGTGCAGAAGAAAAAGGTATGAAAATATTCCAGACTTCGCCGGGGTTGGGGTGCAGAGTTGGGGTACACGCATTTGGTGTGGAGCGGCAACCTTGCTTTTGCGCACGGTAGGGGCGTTCGGGACATCGAGGGATGATCTTTTCGGGCGTTGTTGTTTTGATCTGATTTTTTGCACGGTGGTGGGGAAAAATTAAAGGAACGGAAGGCAATAGGAACGGATCGATTCGGACGAGCAGATTATTTTTAATGATTTTTCGAAAATTAAAACTTTGGAAAATAGTAAAAAATAAAATACAATGCATTTTGGGTCGGAGTCGGTTGTGTTGCGCTTCTAAAATCCTCATTTCAATTGTGGTGTGCAAATTTGGGGTGCACGCATTTGGCGTGGAGCGGCAACCTTGCTTTCGCGCACGGTAGGGGAGTTCGAGACATCGAGGGACGATCTTTACGGGGGTTGCCGTCCTGATCTGAATTTTTGCACGGCTATGGGGAAAAATCAAAGGAACGAAAGGCAACAAGAACAAATCGATTCGGACGAGCGGATTATTTTTAATGATTTTTCGAAGATTAACATTTTGGAAAATCGTAAAAAATAAAATACAATGCATTTTGGGTCGGGGTCGGTTGCGTTGCGCTTCTAAAATCCTCATTTGAATTGTGGTGTATAGAGTTGGGGTGCACGCATATGGCGTGGAGCGCCAACCTTGCTTTTGCGCACGGCAGGGGCGTTCGGGACATCGAGGGACGATCTTTTCGAGGGTTGTCGTCCTGATCTGATTTTTTGAACGGTTGTGGGGAAAAATCAAGGGAACGAAAGGCAGCAAGAACGGATCAATTCGGATGAGCGGATTATTTTTAATGATTTTTCGAAGATTAAAACTTTGGAAAATTGTAAAAAATAAAATACAATGCATTTTGGGTCGGGGTCGGGGTCGAGGTCGGTTGCGTTGCGCTTCTAAAATCCTCATTTAAATTGTGGTTTGCAGAGTTGGGGTGCACGCATTTGGCGTGGAGCGGCAACCTTGCTTTCGCGCACGGGAGGGGCGCTCGGGACATCAAGGGACGATCTTTTCGGGGGTTGTCGTTTTGATCTAATTTTTTGCACGGCGGTGGGGAAAAATAAAGGAACGAAAGGCAATAGGAACGGATCGATTCGGAAGAGCGGATTATTTTTAATGATACTTCGAAGATTAAAACTTTGGAAAATCGTAAAAAATAAAATACAATGCATTTTGGGTCGGGGTCGGGGTCGGTTCCGTTGCGCTTCTAAAATCCTCATTTGAATTGTGGTGTACAGAGTTGGGGTGCACGCATTTGGCATGGAGCAGCAACCTTGCTTTCGCGCACGGTAGGGGCGTTCGGGACATCGAGGGACGATCTTTTTGGGGGTTGTCGTTTTGATATGATTTTTTGGACAGCGGTGGGGAAAAATTAAAGGAACGATAGGCAATAGGAACGGATCGATTCGGAAGAGCTGATTATTTTTAATGATTTTTCAAAATTTAAAACTTTGGAAAATCGTAAAAAATAAAATACAACGCATTTTGGGTCGGGGTGGTTACGTTGCGCTTCTAAAATCCTCATTTGAATTGTGGTGTGCAGAGTTGGGGTGCACGCGTTTGGCGTGGAGCGGCAACCTTGCTTTCGCGCACGGCAGGGGCGTTCGGGACATCGAGGGACGATCTTTTCGGGGGTTGTCGTCTTGATCTGATTTTTGGACGGCGGTGGGGAAATATTAAAGGAACGAAAGGCAATAGGAACGGATTGATTCGGACGAGCGGATTATTTTTAATGATTTTTCAAAAATTAAAATTTTGGAAAATCGTAAAAAATAAAATCACAGTGGATTTTGGGTCGGGGTCGGTTGCGTTACACTTCTAAAATCCTCATTTGAATTGTGGTTTGCAGAATTGGGGTGCACGCATTTGGCGTGGAGCGGCAACATTGCTTCCGCGTACGGCAGGGGCGTTCGGTACATCGAGGGACGATCTTTCCGGGGGTTTTCTTTTTGATCTGATTTTTTGCATGTCGGTGGGGAAAAATTAAAGGAACGAAAGGCAATAGGAACGGATCGATTTGGACTTGTGGATTATTTTTAATGATTTTTCAAAAATTAAAAGTTTGGAAAATCGTAAAAAAATAAAATACAATGCATTTTGGATCGGGGTCAGTTGCGTTGCGCTTCTAAAATCCTCATTTGAATTGTGGTGTGCAGAGTTGGGGTGCATGCATTTGGCGTGGAGCGGCAACCTTGCGTTCGCGCACGGTAGGGGCATTCGGGACATCGATGGACGATCTTTTCGGGGGTTGTCGTTTTGATCTGAATTTTTTCATGGCGTTGGGGAAAAATGAAAGGAACGAGAGGCAGTAAGAACGGATCGATTCGGATGAGCGGATTATTTTTAATGATTTTTCGAATATTAAAAGTTTGGAAAATCGTAAAAAATAAAATACAATGCATTTTGGGTCGGGGTCAGTTGCGTTGCGCTTCTAAAATCCTCATTTGAATTGTGGTGTGCGGAGTTGGAGTGCACGCATTTAGCGTGGAGTGGCAACCTTGCTTTCTCGCACGGTAGGGGCGTTCAGTACATCGAGGGACGATCTTTTCGGGGGTTGTCGTTTTGATCTGATTTTTTGCACGGTGGTGGGGAATAATTAAAGGAACGAAAGGCAATAAGAACAGATCATTTCGGACAAGCGGATTATTTTTAATGATTTTTCGAAGATTAAAAGTTTGGAAAATCGTAAAAAATAAAATACAATGCATTTTGGGTCAGGGTTAGTTGCGTTGCGCTTCTAAAATCCTCATTTGAATTGTGGTGTGCAGAGTTGGGGTGCACGCATTTGGCGTGGAGTGGCAACCTTGCTTTCGCGCACGGCAGAGGCGTTCGGTACATCGAGGGACGATCTTTTCAGGTGTTGTCGTTTTGATCTCATTTTTTGCATGGCGGTGGGGAAAAATTAAAGGAACGAAAGGCAACAAGGACTGATTGATTCGGACAAGCGGATTATTTTTAATGATTTTTTGAAGATTAAAACTTTGGAAAATCGTAAAAAATAAAATACGATGCATTTTGGGTCGGGGTCAGTTGCGTTGCACTTCTAAAATCCTCATTTGAATTGTGGTGCGCAAAGTTGGGGTGAACGTGTTAGGAAACGACCCGATTGCGTAGCGGAAAACAAAAATTTCTACAACCATAGATCGTTCCTTAAAGCCCAAAATCAAGGCACAAATTTTACAATTTATGTATTTCATCAAGAATCTGCAAAAAAGTTAATCTAAAGTTTAGATTTATACCCACGTTGGAGGCTCTACCAATATTGTCTCTGAACGTGTTTGCTACCGATCCAAGTGTAGGATCGAACCAAGAAGTCCACACGAAGACAACGACCAAGAACCAATAAGGGATTTGCTAGATCCTCACTGGCTTTAAGAAATCAAGAAGAACAAAAAGGAAAAACTTGATTTTTCAATCAAACAGTGAAAATGGCGTGGGAGAGTGTGTATAGGCTGCTGTGTGTTTTCTTCTTTAATTGAAAATGAACTAAAAATCCCCTATTTAATTTCACAAACACATTTTCTTTTGTAGACAAACTAAGTTGCCCTATTCCCACATGGAATGGGCTTGGGCTCCAACCCAAACACCCCATGTTGCCAAACACTCCCAATTAGATATTTTAATTTATTTCATCATTATCTCAATTAAAATCAATTAATATTTAATTAATATTTAACAATAATGATGATTTAATTAAATATGTGCGAACACACATTTAACCGTAACTTCACTTATTTAATTTTCTAACAAATTAAATAAAGGCTACGACCCCAGCAAATTTAATTACAATGTGAAATTACCAAAATACCCTTTCGCCTAAAAAGTAAAAAACGCCCTTCTTTCTTCTTGGCTCTTAAATTATCTTCTATGTGTGTGACCCATAGGCTTCTCATCATACCAGCAGCGTATAGTATCGCGATTAACACCAATTAATCATCTCACTAATACACAAACCAAGATTGGCCCCTAGCAAGGCATCATGGCCACCCGATAGATTCAGATTCAGCAAAACTGCTACCTGTCAACGATATGGTTACTGTACAATTTGATCCTTTCATCATTCGTTATCTCTACAAGATGAAGGCATAGAAATAGTGTCAACCTCCTGTTACTCTCGATATTATGTATTNTTTTTAATGATTTTTCGAAGATTAAAATTCTGGAAAATCGTAAAAAATAAAATACAGTGGATTTTGGGTCGGGGTCGGTTGCGTTGCGCTTCTGAAATCCTCATTTGAATTGTGGTGTGTAGAGTTGGGGTGCACGCGTTTGGCGTGGTGCGTCAACCTTGCTTTCGCGCACGGCAGGGGCGTTCGGGACATCGAGGGACGATCTTTTCGGGGGTTGTCGTCTTGATCTGATTTTTTGCACGGTTGTGGGGAAAAATTAAAGGAACGAAAAGCAATAAGAATGGATTCATTCGGGCGAGCAGATTATTTTTAATGATTTTTCGATGATTAAAATTTTGGAAAATCGTAAAAAATAAAATACAGTGGATTTTTAGTCGGGGTCGGTTGCGTTGCGCTTCTAAGGCTTGGGACCTGTCCCAGGCCCATGAGTGATTGGTCCCATTTGGGCCAGGCCTGGGCCCGCGATGGATCGGTCCCTTACCCACCTCTAATTGTAACATTTAGATTATGAAATATATGAAAATTGGTTTATCCATTTGAGAAAGAACTTTTGTGTTCTTTATTTATGCGTTCTTTATCCAAGTCCTCACAAGGAGATTTGGTGGTGAATCAATTCAAGTTGGTGGAGCAATCTTTTATACTTGAAGTGTTTCTACTTGTCTTGGTCTGAAATTGCAAGTAAGTGTGAGATTGTTTTTATTTTGTATTCGCCGAATTTTAACTTAGATTTACGGTATGTTGTTTTGTTGAATTGGTTGGAAATGGATCATTTGGTATTAGAGCTTAGGTTGTGAAGTGGAGTAGAATTGTTTAAGGGTTGAAATTGTGTAGTTTGGCCGAAAATTGAGTTTGAGTTGCTGGATTTTGGAAGTGTTTTGACTTGAAATTGTTTTCTCATTTCATTGAACTCACTTTCTCTTTCCTCAAATACTATTACCCTAACCAACTCTCTTACATTTTATTTCTTTCTAACCAAGTCCATTGCCACCTCACCCAATCATAACCAATTCCCTCCAAATTCAACTAAACTCTTTCCTTCCCAACCAAACCAATTATAACCCTTAACCAAACCCTAAACACAATTAATTAGCCTAATCCCTAATATTCATAAACACTGTTCACATATTACTATTCACTTCAACCAAAATCACCAAAACCACCAAAACTTATACACTTGACCTTTCTCTCCCACTTTTCATTTTTCCAATATTCAAACAAAAAATTACTGTTCACCCAAAGTTACTGTTCACAGTAGCTAAAACTTACCCAATTTTCATGGCAAACAAGACTACTTCCTCCCCAACTTCACCCCCACCACCATGGGAGTGTGCCAACGTAAAAATTCAAGAAGAACATGTCTAGCATGATAGAATTGATGTTTAACATGTCTAAAAACATTGCTAATCTATCGCAACTTAAATCTGCGGGTTGTCTTTTGCAGAACACAGGTTCTGTGCAAGGCATATCTTTGCACGAGGTGTCTCATTAAGATTTAAATGATTAAGATTTTTGTAGTAGTGTTGCAATTTCACATATTTTGGAACTTAAGTTACAAATGTTGTTTCGGATTATGTGATAGTTTAAATAATTGAGCATTGATTAATTGCTAGATTGTCATAGCCAATTTGATTAATTTCACATAACTTCTTTTTGGATCATTGCTAGATTGCTACAGTCAATTTGATTAATTTCTGGATCATTTAGGTGCAAAGATTTTTATCAGCAAATAGAAGGTAATTAATAAGCAAATTGCAAGCAATAATACAAATTTATATAAACATTTGGAACGTTGTTTTTTTTAATTAAAAAACAGGAAGTAGAAAGTTAAAAAATTGGTTTAATGGATAAAAACTTAAATGATTGTTTGTTTATGCAAGTTAGATGGGTTTTAATTAGGATAAGTTTTTATTATGGGTAGGTTTTATTTATTCTGGGTGGTTTTTGTGATTTTTATTGAAATAATAAAAAAAAAATGGTTAATTTGAGATTTTTTAGATTATAAATGTCAAAGTCAATCTTAATTATCACATCAAAATGTTTAGTCAACACACCAAAATTGCAATGTCATCCATTTTTGATTAAAAAAATGTCATGTCATCAATATTTAACGCCGTAGAAAAAAATATGAACGTTTAGTATTTTCAATAGAAAAAACTCAAAGTTTGATATTTTCAATAAAAATAATTGGTAATTTGACACCTTTAACCGAAAAAAAAAAAATAGTTTGATACTTTCTATAGAAAAAAATTGATAATTCAGCGCATTTGATGTGATTAAACCGCATAAAATAAGCCATCACAAATGGGCAACATAGTAATTAAATTATATTGGGCTAAAAAAGCTGCAGCCCACAAAACCGAACTTAAAATATCGGGCCACAAAAGCCCAGACCCATAACTTTAAAATAACGACTGAACAAACTTCACCCGAACAACAAGATCTGATTTCTCTGAGGACGAAGGAACCAACGTTTTACAGATCTAAACTCCATGGCGGCACCCGATCACTTGTTCAATCTTCGTAACCACTTCTACTTGGGCGCCTTTCAGTCCGCCATCAACAACAGCGACATCCCAAACCTCCCCCAAGAGGACGCCGTGGAGCGCGACTGCCTCGTCTATCGCTCGTACATTGCTCTCGGCAGCTACCAGGTCGCATTTCAATTACTATTATTGTTATTATTATAATTATCAGTTTTTTTTAAATAAATTATGTTTTAATTTGAAAGTTTCTGATTGAATTTCGCAATTTTAGCTTGTGGTCAATGAGATCGATGACTCTGCCGCTACGCCTCTCCAAGCTGTGAAGTTGCTTGCTCTGTATCTCTCAAATCCTGACAATAAGGTTTCGTCTTCTAGATCTGGAAGTTTTTCTATTGCTATTTTTATAAATTTATTTTAAGTTTGATTTGTGAAATTGTAGGCTTAGGTGATTTGATTTGTGGCGTTTTGGCTTTTGGTTTAGAAATTAGGAGACATTTATTTGGTGATCTGGAAACAATTTTCAAATATTATTGTACAATTTAGAGTTCCCGGATATGACTTAGATGCAGTTTTAGTGTAACTTTTTATTTTATGCTAATGTTTTAGGATTGTGTGATTGAATTGTATCGAAAATTTACTGACTGAACGCTTGATAAATGCATGTTTTAAACATCTTGTCTCTGGAAACAAAGAAATGGATTTAGTGATCTGGATACAGGTTTCAAAAGTTAAGAAACATTTTAGATTTTTCAGCGTTAATGAGGATATGGTCTCGTGGAAATGATAAAAGTGATTTTTTTTTTCTTGCATTAGATTTAGAGTTATTTGTGAATTCTATGTCAAAACTTTTAACTTAAGGCATCTTTTCTAAAGACTTTCAGTGTTTTTTATCAAAAATAATGTAGAATTGTATGTGCATTATAATCGAATAGGACTTTAGATGGTTGCTGTAATTCTTGATATTTGTACTGGTGGAACTGTATTCTATATATCAAGTAAATTTACGAGGTTTGCGAACAATTTTGAGTTCAGTTTATTGGAAAAAAAAATGAAGTAGGATAAATACTGCTACTGTGCATACTAGGTGTCTTAAGGACATAGATGGTTCTGAATCAAATCAAAGTCTTTGTGATGGGTTTTCCAGGAATCAACAATTTCAAGTTTAAAGGAGTGGTTGGCAGATCCAGCCATTGGAAACAACTCCACTTTGCGATTGATTGCTGGGATCATATTCATGCATGAGGAAGATTATAATGAGGCTCTCAAGCACACAAATGCTGGGGGGACTATGGAGCTGTGAGTCTGATTTGACTTGTTTTATGCTGATATTTTGTAGCATATTGTAAAATTATACATGCAATTTGATTCTTCCTGGTGCTTTTTTATTGTTGGAGGAGTATGTAGTAGAAGATTTTGTTATACATTTTTCATATGGTTTCCAACAACACAAATTGTTAGGAAAAAAAAAAAAAATTTGATAATAGTAGTAACAATGACGTCATGAAGTTTTTGACATATATCAGTAGCTTTATTTGAAGAGTTTCAAACATTGACAAGCTTAAATTCTGTTGGGACGTGATTCCTTATGATTTATCGATGCCATTTGTAGTCTCTCTTTTTCCTTTCATTTCCTTGTTAGTTTCATTTACCTGGTATCTATAAGGGTGAGTGGTCAAATTGGGTGAGTATACCACATTGCAGCTTCTTTTTGATGCTTGAAGGTCTTAGGTTGTATAACTTGTTTGAAACTAGTGAAACCCAGTAATAGCCTCTGCTGAATGTTGGGACATTGATGTGAACAAATGTATTTTTTTCCTGATTTCTTCTGTTGCTATTTTTACTGCCTGCCTTACTCATGTATGCCTGTTAAGTTTTGTGCAATTAGTATCCTCAACTTGCTGTGGTGTTAATTTTACATGTTTTATGTAGCTTCCACTATTTGCTTCTAGCATGATGTTTCTTTATGATGTTATCTGCTTAAAGACATCATGTAAATTTCTTCATGATTCTATCAATTCAAATCATGATTGTGTCGGCTGCTGATTTATTACCCACAATCCTCATAAGTCATAATGTATTGTATCTCTGTCAGTTTTCTTCTCCTTTCTCTTTGGATTGATGCGTCTCTGTCAGTTTCCTAAGGCTGCACACTATTTTTCTTTTGCAGACATGCATTGAATGTCCAAATATTCCTTAAGATGCACAGATCTGATTATGCAGAGAGACAGCTGCGTGTTATGCAACAGACTGATGAGGATCACACACTAACTCAACTTGCAAGTGCATGGTTGAATTTGGCAGTGGTGAGTGCATCTTCTCCAGCTTATTGTGACAAGTGAATATTTCTTGATTTTCTAAACATATTGTTCTGTGTCAGGGTGGTTCCAAGATACAGGAAGCATATCTTATCTTTCAAGATCTCTCTGAAAAGTACCCAATGACAGGGTTGATCTTGAATGGAAAGGCTGTTTGCTGCATGCACATGGGGAACTTCGATGAAGCTGAGACACTGTTGCTTGAAGCGCTCAACAAGGTAATGTTTGGTAGTTGTTGAGAAAATTTTAACTCCTGGTGTGACATGCCATTTGTTTCTAGCTGTTTGGGCATAATTCAAAAAAATTTAAGGTCATTCTATGTATATATATATGTGCACATGCTCCAAATTATATTGAATTCTAATAACTTGCAATGTGCATGGAAAGAAAAGTGCAAAAAAAATTCTGAGTTCTATTGAATACTGTTATTTTGACACATGAGAGCTTTTTGGTACATTAGGGTTTCTCTTTTTAATTTCTTGATCTCTTAACTTCCATATCTACGCTTTGTGGTATTATGATGGCACAAAACATTTCAATCCCAGCACTTGTCGTTATGTAGCATTCGCTCTGAATAGACTCAAGGTTTGTTTGAGACATTATAATTAACAAAAGAGTTGTTTTCTAATTAATACAGGATGCAAAAGATCCAGAAACTTTAGCCAATCTGATTGTATGCAGCCTTCACCTCGGTAAATCATCTTCACGTTACCTCAGGTAAGCTGTATCTTCATATCCTCATTTCTCTTCCCCATCTTATATACTTTTTTTGGATAGGCAACATGAATTCGTTGGTTTCACTTTATTCAATTATTTCTCAAAGACCCGATCTGTTCCTCGGGTTGTATACCTCTATGTCAATTAATAGTTAAAAAGTGAAGAAGAAAAAAGGTTCCAAATAGGATCTTTTCCTCTTTTCGTCTTCTTTTGGAGTTCCCTATACTTCTCCAGATGAATAGAATCGGAAGGATTGTTGGATTCCAATTTCCCATTATTTATGATTAATGACTGCCTTAAACTGATTGAATTGCAGCCAGTTGAAACTTTCATATCCACACCACATTCTTGTTAAGCGTGCGACTTCTGCGGAAGATAACTTTGAAAGAGCCATTCAATCTGTTGCTTGAAGACCAGGTTGAGTCGAGTTGGGTTGGGTCGGCTACAGCATGTATCATTTCGAGGTGGTCGGTGCTTGATAAATGGTACTTTTCACCTTGAAAACGACTGTTTTGTAACCTACAAGAAGAATATATGATGATATGATTGATCGGAAAATTTGTGGTTTTGTTAGCATTAATAGAGTTGGAAAGTTTGATGATAGTTTGGGTTTTGGGTCATCTTCTTGTTGGATAACTCCATATGTTAAATATTTCAAGCAAAGTCATTTATTATGATGGTCTCTGTGGTGTAGAGGGAGAAGCATATTTTGTTAATTTTAAGCAATTTCAATTTAAATATACAGTATAACTAATAACATAACCCATTTCCTGGCTTTTACTACCTGGGACAGCCCGTTATGGTAACCGGTTGTACCAAAAATTTAAATAATAAGTACTTTTATATTTTTAAATATTTTAATCAATAAAAATTAAAAAATATATAATTTTAAATTTAATTGGAACAGCTCAAATATTACAAGTACTAAGGTTTAATCTTTGAAAGTTTCAAATATAACGTTACTAATGTCCAAATTTTATAAATTTCAGTTCTACATACTGTTTTAAGTTTCAAATATTATATATAGGTCTCATATGTGTGGTTTTAAGCATCAAGTTCTCTAATTTCATATAATATTGTTCTAGATTTTAAATATTATTTATAAGTATTCATTTTCGAGTGTGATGTTATAAGTGTTAAAAGAAATGTTTTTGGTATCAAACCATTTAGATTTCAGGTTATATGTTACTGGTTTCACATTTTATTTTATAGATTATATATATAATCTTAGTTTTTAAGTATTTTTTTTATAGATTTCATTCACGTTAAAAGTTCCAAGTATAATGTTGTCAATTTCAAACATAGCATCATTAATATCAAGTTCATCAAATTTCAACTACAACATTAGTAATTCCAAATTCTACATTACGAATTTCATGTACATTATTTTAGGTTTCAAGTACTAAATCAATATAACATGTTTCAAGTGTGATATTATAAGTTTCAAAAGAAATGTTTTTGGTATCGAGTCATTTAGATTTCAAGGTATATGTTATTGGTTTCATATTTTACACGGTTGCGTTTGTTTCGTTATTTCCCCAATATCCTGTATTTATTCCAAATACAAATGCGTATTTGTTTTTCTATTTTCAAAATCATATTCTAAATTAAAACTACTTTTAAACACCCTAAGTTTGTTAATTGATAAAACACCCCAAACATAAAAATTTATAAAATGATAAAACACCCACACTCACCCATAGTTGCCAGAGTCTGACGACCACCATCGATGGTGGCTAGAATCCGTCACAACGGCGTACTGCCAGCCAGAAATGGTCGGTAATGCATTGATCTGGCCTTCAAAGATAGCCATCATTTACCGTCAACGACAGTCATATCTTTGGTCTTCCCTGATGGCCAGATAGGCGAACGACTGGCCAAATCTGGTCAGTCGTGCGCCATAACACTAGATTCCAGCCAAATTCTGACAGTGGTGGCTGGAAATCGTTGACCGTCAATAACGGCCATATCTTTAGCCGTCGCTGAATGCCAGATCTGGTTTTCGCTGAAGGTTAGATTCAGCCAGTCGTGCGCCGTAATGCTAGATTCCGGCCAGATTCTGACGGTGGTGACCGGAATCTAGCCACCGTGGGTGGGTGGGGGTGTTTTTGTCATTTTACAAAAAAATTATATATTGGGGTGTTTACTTAAATTAGGGGTTTTTTTTGTTAATTTTTAAATTTTACCTTGTAATAATCACCCAACTCTACTTACCAATAATATTTATAAAATACTACTCAAAATAATAAAACAAACACGCATATTCCAAGTATTGTTTATAGTTTTCAAATTCATATTAAAAGTTCCAAGTCTTAGGTTATCAATATCAAACATGGCATCATCAATTTCAAGTCCCTCTCGGATTTTAAATAAAACGTTAGTAATTTCAAGTTTTATGTTATAATTTCAAAT